GTCCCACTCTTCCAGGAGTCTGGACATGGGTAAGCACTAGAGAAGTACAACAAAACCATTGTTACCTGAAGAGAGGGACAAACAAACCTGATACCATTTGTGTGCTCTCCTGGGGAGGGCCCTGCCAGGCTGTGATGGCACTCAGGAAGAGATTCAGTGCTTCAAAAAGGGAAGAAAGATGAGAGGCTGTGACAGCTGCTTTCAGCAAGTACATCACTTCTCCCACAGCTGAGGAGGTGATAGCTCAAGTGTCAAAATTGAGACATTTTACTTGGATTGTCTTAATTTCCCATTGGATGAGGCATATCCTGCCCACCCACATGTGGTTTACTTAAAAGAGGTAATTTAAAGAACTCACTTGCCTCCTTGTGCCCTTGCCTTGCCTGGTTTGGTGTAGTTTAGATTGTACTCAGTCTTTCTTCAGCTGAGACTTTGTGTGTATTAGGGTCATCCCCCCCAAACTAGGCTCCCAAAACAAGTTTAGAATCTCTGTAATTATTGCTCTGAGCCTTTAATCTTAGTACAGCAACTGAGGCATAGCAAGAAACCCTTTTTTAGCAGATAAATATCAGTATTTTGCTGTTGTTACTGAATGCAATCAGGGTAGTTGCTGTTTGTGACCCAGCATTCAAATAATTAAAGTAATAAGTTCCAAATGTTCTTTCTCTTTAGAAAAGGCAGTGTCCTCTCAAGCAGTGAGGTGAGAGACATCATCATTAACTATGTGAAGACTAACGAGTTGGTGCATGAATCAAACAAAAAGTGAGTTTTCCTGCCCTGCTTCCGTGGGAGATGCTGAAATTAGAGGGCAAAAGTGATTTGCTTCTAATGCATGTTTTTGTTTTGTAGCCTTGTGAAGGTGAATGCCATTCTGTGTGACTGCCTGTTAGAAAAATCAGAACAAGATGAGATCTCACACCTTACATGGGATGACCTCTTGAGCAGGTGATTGTTTTCCCAGTGTTTTTTTCCCAGTTTTCAGAATTACACAGGTTTATTGCATGCAACTCAAAGCCACATGTTAGGAGCTGGTAAAGTTTTAACTTCCTGCTGGTAATACAACAAAAGTAGCCAGAGACCTGCACTTGAACGATCTCATTCTTTATTTAATGAGTAGATACAATTAACTACTGTTGGAGGGTTTTTTTTGTTTACCTGGTAACCACTTATCAAGGAACACTTGCTAAACAAACAGTGGCTGGTTCTGTGTATAATCCATGTGTACATATTTATAAAGTCATCTTTGCAGTAGATAACTGAACATGCCCTTTGGAGGTAGTCAGCCTGCTCCTCTGTGCAGCACAACTTCAGAGACTCCCAGAATGGTTTGGGTTGGAAGGGATCTTAAGGATCATCTCATTCCACCCCCTGCCATGGGCAGGGACACCTTCCACTAGCCCAGGTTGCTCCAGCCTGGCCTTGGACACTTCCAGGGATGGGGCAGCTACAGCTTCTCTGGGCAACCTGTGCCAGGGCCTCCCCACCCTCACAGAGAAGAATTCCTTCCCAATATCCTCTTTCAGCTTCAAGACAACTTTTGCATTTATAACCTAACTCCACCTTTTAGATCTAAGAGCCCCAAGTATCTGACACAAGATCATTTCCATATATTTTGCCTAAATATATCCAGTATCTTTCTTACCTTGAGTTTCTTCATCACACTGTTTCTGAGGCTCCTCCAGCTGCTTCCTTTGTTTCTGAACTCAGCTTTGCTTGTGGGTCAGGAACACAATTTATGCTGAATTTTAAACTGAAGTTGCTTCACCAGTCTGTGAAAAACAGCTGAACAATAGATTAAAGGCCAAGTGAAATAAGGTTTTTCCTCTGCAAGAACTAATTTGTACCTGGTAAAACTTTATCATCTAAGCTGTAATTTTTGTGAGTCAGTAGACTTGCTTTCTTTTTAGTCACTCTCTTTCTTTAAATCATAGCTGGGATGCAAATCTTTTCAGGAGACCATCTTTCATTATCTTCTTAAGATACAAATTCTTATTCCATGTACAGTCTTGGCTTTCTTGTGCTTCCAAAAACCTGTGAGAGGCTGCACAATGAACTGCTGCAGTGAGTAATTGGGTGTCTAAACTTTCTTCAGGTGCCTTGAACGACTGCAGCCCTTCCACCAGGTGACATTTGTTGGACAAGAACCTGTTGTGAGGAAAGGAATCATCACCCACATCGACATAACCATAGCCCAGAGATCATCAAATAAGAAGGTAAAAAAGAGAACTGAAATTAGGGTGTCTGAGCAGAAGCCCAGATCCCAAGAGCTGGGCTTTTTCTGGGCTGAGGGATCCATGATTTGCTGATTCCTCCAGCAGGGGTGTTTGCAATCCTCATTAACCCCACAGGTGACAATTATCAAGAACCTGGAGCCCTTTGGTCTGGACCCCCAGTGTGTGGCCAACACCCTGCAACAGAAAGCACAAGCCAGTGCCACCCTCAACCCGGTACCAGGAGCCAAAGACAGAGTTCAGGTCCAGATCCAAGGGAACCAAATCCATCACCTGGCCAAGATCCTGCTGGGTGAGTGGATTCTGGGGCTGGTTGCAGCAAGAATGTGATTTTAATTCTTGAGCTTGTTCAGCTGAAGTGAGTGAACTCTTGGTTGTGTTGCAGAGGAGTATCAGCTCCCTCGGAAGTACATCCGAGGCCTGGAGAAGGCCCCAAAGCTCGGCAGGAAGAAGTAGGAGAAAAATCTCCTGTTTCTAGGAGTGTTTTCTGCCAACAAATCAAGGATCACGTGCAGGCCCTGTTCGTTCAAAACTGAGTCCTGGATGTTTACAAGGTCTGGAATTCACCCAAATAATGATATTGCTCCAGGTGTTCATTTTTCATAAAAATAAAAAGCTCAATAAAACCCCTGGCATTATCCTTTTGTCATATTTTGTAGGAGTTCCTAGTGATACACTGATTTTCTGGCTGCAGTGGCTTTTGGGTAGTTTAACATTCTTGCTTTGCATTTTTGATTAAGGGCATGTGATAAAATGTGAGCAAAATGCATTCCAACACATCATCCTGGGACAGCCTCAATGCTCTGCCATAATTATGTTTGTCAGAAGTAAAAACCCATTTGCCTTTAGATTTTAGCCTTTTAAACATTTCCAGGTAATAATACAGACATTTCAGCACTGAGAACAAACTCTATTAGCTGGACTTTTATGGTTTATGTTATTTATATATATATATAAATACATTTTAATGTATGACATTAGCTGTAATTTATCACAGGTAACAGTTCTGTTAAACCCAGCTGAAATATTAAGAAAGATTAATGGAACACTCGGGTCAGGTTCCACAGATGTTCTGTAGCTCTTAAAATGAAGCTTAAACACTTTACAGTGGGGTTAGAAAATAGAAATTCACTTCTAGGGAGGATTCCTGTTTTCCCCTTTAGACTTAATGCATGGAAGTTCCATAGGAGGGCGCCAGAAAAAGCAAATAAAGAGATTTCTTTAATCACTGACAGTTTTATTATCATTGTCTCTTACACTGTCTGCATATGAACAAGTAGTTTCAGAACCTTCAAAAAAAGCTGAAAGTGAGACATTTTTTAAAAATGCCATAGAATTACTAGGGAGTAGTAAAAATAAATTACAGCATTGCAAAAAATGCATTTCACTTTGCCATAGAAGCTTTGCTATTCCATCCTATACACAGTATTTTACATGTTTTACAGTAGACATGAAAAATAAACTCACACGACCTAGGCAAGACAATTACTAACCAAAGGCACTGCCAACAGTATTTTGCTTAAAGAAGGGGCAAATACTTCTAAAAACAGCTCAACTGACCTATGAGAATTGGAGTTTCAAGACTTAACAATTCTTCAAACGCCCCTTTATCTTGGGAAAAGAAAAAAAAAACAAACAAAAGAAAGAGCCCTCCTCTTGGCAGGAGGTTTTCAGCAGCATCCACAGTGATTGCATAAGAAGCCATGCCTTCTACAAACTGTCAAAGACATGCTGGGGGCCAGGGAGGGAGTCACCAAAACTGGTAGAAAAACAACAACAACCAAAAAAAAAAAAAAAAAGAAGAAATCTGCACAACTTTCAGCCAGAAAGAAAAGGGATTTAAAACGGTTTTAAGTCCAAGCGTGTGGATCTTACTTCTCAGAACCAATGGCAGTTTTTTTTACAGTGTTTTTCCCCCTGGATGGAACAGAAATATTTATATGGTGCTTTCAAGACTCGAAGCACTAGATAAAATTTTATTTAAATTGCTTCACGAGGGAATAGTGAAGCAATAAGTCTTCTTGTAACTGGACAAACAGCCCCAGAGCGTGGAAATTGCTGCTCTGTGGCTGCCACCACGTTGTTAAAGGTCATCAGGTGTAGACTACAGTACAGCTGGAGGCCCTTCCTGCCCTGGGAGCAAAACCCTCTCACTACTGACCAAAACAGGAGCTGCAGAAAGTGGCTTTAAGAGATGCAGTTACTCTCAGTTTACTCTCATATGGTTTACAAACAAACATGCTCTCCAAATCTGGAAAAAAAAACCAAAATCCCAAGCAGTCACCTTCCAGAAAGAAACAAAACAGTTCCTCACCCCTCTACAGACAAAAGCAGCCTCATCACACCAGTTCTTTGGGTATCTGGGGGGGCAGGAGAGTCGAGGCCTCTTGACAGAAGCCCTTTCCAGGTTCCTCCTTAGCCCAAAATGCAAAGTTTTCACACTTAAGGGAAAAAAAAAAAGGCACTGAGGTAAATTTTAGACTCCCCCATGTTACCCAATAACCTGTTGCCTCCCCTCCCACTTGATGCAGGTGGGATCAGAGCAGCCCACGAGCTCAGAGGGACACTTTGCTCATCAAGTCAACAGGAATCCCTTTCCCGTGCTCCATCCCATTCCAGCAGCACTAACATCCCCTTTTCCCTACGCCTTGTCGTGGTGTCCTGTGTAAACAGAGGCAGGGCTGGCCCTGGCTGTGTGCAACGTGCTTGGTAGGAAGCACAGAGTAAACGTGGGGCCCATCCTGTCCCCCTGGAATCCCTGGAGCCTGGGCACCAGCACCGGCAGGACTCTGGTCAGAGTGAGGGCAGGAGCTGAGGCTCCAGCTCGAGGAGTTTTCTGAGGGATGCTCAGCGTGTGCATCCAGTGGGAGCCCTGAGATAGGGAGAGAGACCTGCTGTCCTCTCCTAACTCCACGGAGAGAGCAGGACCTGGGAACCTCCCTGGGTGAGCACCAGCTGAGAACAGGACCCAGAGTGGCACAGGGGTGTCATGGACAGCAGTGCAAGGAGGGGGGGCAGGAGGAAGGACAGGATGGGGGGGAGCAGAAAGCATCCAAGGTCAATAATTCCCTTACTCCTGGTCTTAAGGCTTTCTCACACGCTCTTGGTGCCACCTCCACACCCCAGCCCTGGTTGGAGCTCCTCCCCCTCGGTGCCAGACCTGTTCACAGCTCAAAAGCAGCCTGATTTGGGAAGGGGTTTTGAGCTTTCCTGGGTTAATCTGTTGTATTAGATGTATTGCTAAACATTCAATACTGAACCATCAGCCTATGCCCTAACCATCATCTTTACACCTTTCAAACAGAATTTCCTAAAACATAAGTGCCAATTCCTACAGAGCAGGAAACTCATAAAATACTGGCTTAGCTAAGCATCAGGGGTATTTGCCTTAATTCGCCTTTGCAAAATTAGAAGTCAAACAGAACCAAAACGAACGACTTTTCCTGGAATTAACGTTACCAAGTTTCAATAATACTTATCAACAGCCTGTTTGGGTGTTGCAGCTGCCTTGGTGTCATAACTTGGCACTTCCCTGGCTACCTTAGCCCTGAACAAGTCCGTCCAGCACTGGTTACAGCTGCAACACCCACGTGGTTCGGTGCAACAACCTCCTCCCCTTTCTCTGCTGCTTCCTGTGCTCTCCTTGCAAAACCAGAACTGGGCCACGTGGGCTGGAGCACCTCTGAACAGGAACCAGCCAAGCTGAGGGAGGAGCACGAACAGCAAGTGTTGCCCTGCTCAGAACACTTGGCCAGGAGATGTTCCTGTTGGGTTTAACAGTGAGGATTTTCCACGGAGCCTCTCCATCGGATGGTGCAGCTGAAAAGCCAACCAGCAGCTGTGTTTGGTTTGTTGACCTGTTTTAAAACAGGCTTCCCGTTCTTGGACTGGCTCTGGTCCTGGGATAAAGAGGTTTCAGAAGAAGAAAATGCAATAGGATCATTTTAGGGGTGCTGGGAGCCAAGTCCTTAATGGAAGGATGAAGAGGGAGAGTGACTAAGGTGTCCTGAGAAGTGTCTTTTCATTCAAAAACAGTATCTAGCTTAGTCCGATGCCTGGTGCCTCCTGAAGGTTATCCAGGTTTGCCTCTGGCTTCTTTCAAGGTCTGTTGCAGTCTCTGTTTAAACCTCTCGTACTTCCTGTGCACTTGCTGGATTTTGTCCTTTTCTTCTTTGTCCAGGATCATCAGGAAGTTCTGAAGCTCTGGGATGGAGAAGGCATCCCACTGCAAAACCAGCAGAGACAAAGTGAGCACACCCTGTTCACCTTATGGGTTTGGTGGGTTATTTTCCCCCCCTCAATCTGTGAAGTGGAACAATAAAAGATATTTAACCATATCTGATCTCCAGGGAGTTTAACCTCATATTGTGAGAGATGGGATAAGGGGCTACAGCAGGAAGGGCCATCCCAGTCCTGAGCCCCTGAGACTGTAGAAGCAATAAAAAATCATCTTTACTCAGGTGAATTAAAGCTCCCACTGCAGGAGATGCCACAATTCCCTAAGGAACTGAAATCCATGTGGGAGTACTGGATGTGACATCCACCCACACTTGTTGGTACAAGGGGACCGAGGTCCCAGTGGTGACTCTGCCCAGAGGAGCCAATTCTCTTGTTTTTTTCTCAGTTATCCAAACTGTTTGAGCCTCAGTAAAAGCCCTTGGCACACACAGGCTGCTCAGCTGTCACCTGACAGCAAGGGACAGGCAGGACACAGACTGATGACTCTGATCACTTAATAAATACTGCTGTGTGCCTGCTCAGCACTGCCACAGGAATCCAGCATTCCCATGGCATCCTTCCCAACCCCAGTCCTGCTCCTGTCAGCACAGCAAGTCCCAGCCACCCCACAGCACACGAGGAAGAATCCCACGGGATGCAGCAGCTCCCAACATTTCCCTTCCCTGTGGTGAGGAGCAAGATTGCAACCAAAAACTGATGTGAATTTATTACCTGAGCATCCCTGGCTTCCACTTAAATACGTGGATTATTTATGACAGTGTTCAGCTAATCTAATTAGTGAGGATTAACTCAGGGGCGGCACTGCTGGGTTCCACAAACAGATTATGGGGTGGCCATCAAAACTGGCCTCAGCATTTTCACAGCTCGAGTTTAAATTGTTTTAAAAATCCAGATCATTTAGGAGCAACAAATGGCCAACCCAGCCCCAAATAAAAGGAAACAGCCTTTCTGGCGTGGCACCACTTCACCCGTGCTGCCCTTGCCACATGCTCCAAAATATTCATGTGAAAACCAAGGCAAAGAGGCCCCCACATACCTCAACTTCCCCTGTTTCGTTTTCCTTCAGCACAAAACTCAGCACATCTGTGTCAGGGCCTGCCAGCAGCCGGAGGTACAGAGGGTACTCGGTGAGAGGGAGCTTCTGGAAGAGCACTGCAAGGGCACAGCAAACATCCACAGTGAGGTCGTGGCTGCCAGGGCACAGGAAAGCTCAGGAGGTCAATTGGAGCATGTAAAAGGGGGTCATGCTGCTCAGGATCATGGGGGAAGGGGCTGAGTCTCTAACACAGGTCCATAATGATCTTTATAAAGTGGTTTTGGCTCCTTTTGAAAACAATTTCCTTTTGAAAACAATTTCCTTTTGAAAATAATTCCCCTGTTAACTTCAGCAGCATCCCCTCCTGCCGAGCTCTGTCCATTTATTCACCTGGATTTAGACTTTGCCTGCCTGACACCCCACTGGTTCCTACAGGACTTTGGGTGCATTTCTGCAACACAAAACAGAAGCAAAACCCACCAGCCACAGCAGAGCTGGCGGGGTCCGAGGGCCCGAACTCACCTTGCCCGTCCTTCCGCATCTCCTTGAAAAGTGCAAACTTCTGGGGATTATCCACCACCATGAACTTCTTCAGCAGCCCCTGGATCACCTCGCTCACCGTGGTCGTGCTGCTGATGTGGAGCTGCTTGATGGCGTCCAGGGGCAGGTAGAAGGAGGTTCTCTTGTCCGTCATGTCAGCCAAGTTCACCTCCTTGAGGGCGTCGTAGATGGACTGGGGCCGGATCCCGGCGGGCACCGTCACGGGCCGGCGCAGCTTCAAGTGCACTTTGATGAAACCTGTGTACGTCCCATCCTCGTTCTGAAGCACAGGAGAGGTGGGTCAGGCTCCCTCAGCCCCTCAGACCTTTCTGGTCTGCAGGACGTGCCCCCTCCCCTTGGTGCCACTGGGGTTTGGGGGTTCTTGCTAATCATGTAAAAAGTAACCAGTAATTTTGGGTCAGTCACAGATTTTCTCCTGTCCCTTCCCCTCAGCAATGACTCAGCCCTTCCCCTGTGGGATCTTGGTTTACTTCAAACCAGCGCTGCTACGGCTCAGTTATGGAAACCATTACATGGAATTTGTAGTTGCATTTAAGTGAGGATTTGAAACCCCTGAGAAGGGCTGGGCCCTCGTGTTCAGCAGGATCTCCCAGCCATATCCCTCATGTTTTATGCTGGGTTTAGGGGGTTCTAACATCACCATGTCAGAAATCACCACTGGAGATCAGCCTGCCTCCTCACAGGTCCCTTACCCCACCCTCAGCTCTGCAAAAATGCAGAAATCAGGAGAAAAGCCTGGTTCTGCACAGTCCATCCATGTGTGCCAGGCAGGAACCAGTTGGGTTCCTGCTGTGGTCCCACCACCAGCAGCTGAGTCCCAGGGCCAGATCAACTCCCAACACTGTGCTTTTGCTAAACTCCAAGCAAAGCAACTCAAGAGTAAACATTTGGGTCCCAGCTGACTCCTGTAAGTCAAGGGGTGATCAAGATCAATGGGATGACATTCCAGCAGAGTTACTCTGCAGCCTCCACTGAGGAAACTGTTGTAACAGCCACTGTTTTAAATAAATTTCAGGTTTATTTTCAGATGTCGTCAAGAACCAGGGAGTTACGTAGCTGCTATTCTTGGAAGGTCTACAATTTCATTATTTTACTCTTTAAGAAGCTCTGTCCCCTCTCTGTAAGACCCTGTGAAGTTTGTACCTTTGTGTTACTCCAGTGTGCAAAAGAGGGGATTTCCTTGTTTCCTCACCACATTGCTTTACTTAAAGATGGCAATAAGCAAGCTTGCAATAAAAGCTTCAAAACACAAAGCTTCTTAGACCTCTGCTTAAGCAAGTCTGGCAGTGGAGAGGGGAGAAGCATCTCTTTCTAGAAAGATTTTTGTACTTTTAAATACTCCTTATGTTTCTGAACTGCAGAGTTCCAGCCTGACTCATCCCCGCCAGAACAACGTGGGCTCATCTATTTGTGGCAAGTCATTGCCAGCACAGGCTGGCCAGAGATTACTGTGCCAGCCTGAAGGGATGGAGGCAGGGAAGGGTTATCTGCAGTGCTGGTCACTAGGGGAAGCCAAGCAGGATGAAAAACAGCTGAACAGCCACGAGAGCCCTGTTGCCCCAGTGACACCTTCCCCCAGGCTGGCTCAGCTCACAGCACCAGCCCCTGTGGATGAGACAAAACCAGCCCAGTACGTACCAGCTTCATCAACAGGCAGTTTGTGACCTTGGCATTGTACTTCTCAATCCTCTGTTTGATCTCCTGGATGGTCGGAGGCTCGGGCTTTTCTTCTTCTACTGTTTGTGTCACATTCTGCAATCAGAAGAGAAGGGCTTGAGCTGCTTTTTGTGTTGGGTGACACTCCCTCTGCTCAGCTCTGCTCTTCCTTGGGAAAGCAGGAGCAGACCCTGCGCAGATCCTGAGCTCACAGGTGGGGATGGTCCCTGCAGCCAGGAGGCCAAATGTGCAGGGTGCCACAGCCCTGCCCCCAAACCACCCCTGGACACCAGGAACAGGCAGTGGAGGGCAACACAAAACCCACCAGTTAGTGACACAAAGCAGTAAAACACCCCAGTACAAACCAGGACAAAAAAAATCCAGCCTATAAAACTCACTTTCAAAGCAAAGCCACCTGCACCTGTGAGCACTCAGTTACTTCTTGTGATGCAGTTTGGAAAAAAAATCACGTCCCATTTCCAATATTCATGGCTCTGCCTCCCCAAAACCCAGGGTGCTCATCAAGCAGCTCCCGGCGGGTTCACCCAGGCAGAACCTGAAGTTAAATCTCTCACTGCTCTTGTCCAAAGCTGTGGAAATTATAGCTCAGAGCAATAATACCACACAGGCAGCAAGACTGCTGCATGACTAATAAATCAGTCACTGCAAAGCCAGTCAAAGCATCCCCAGCCCGTGTCAGAGACCGTCTGCCCACACGTGGGTTCACAGGGAGGGTGACGGCGGCCGCTGCTCGCCTGGGTTTGGGGGAATTTCCTCCTGGGAGGCAAAACCAGCAGGTCTGGCACGTAGGTGGGCTTCACCTGAAGGCCACCCATGGAAATGTCACTGATGAATAATCACAGAATCGTCAAGGTTTGAAAAGACCTCTAAGAGCGAGTCCAGCTGTTGGCACAGCGCTGCCGTGCTCACCACTAAACCACATCCACAGGCCTCCTGAGCACCTCCAGGGATGGTGATTCCACCACCTCCCTGGGCAGCCTGTTCCAATGCCTGACCACCCTTTCAATGAAGGATTTTTTTCCTAATATCCACTCTAAACCTCCCCTGGTTTCCCTCCAGCCAGGAGAACAGGTCTCCTCTCAAGCCCCGCCTGCTTTATCTGCTAAATCTGCTGCAAACAAGCCCTGTGTGTGTCTTGGGCAATGCTCAGTGGGCTGGATCTCCCAGTACAGAGCTCTGCTGCCTTCCCAGAACTCACCACCTTCCCTGGAGACAGGCTGTGAATGCATTTTGCCAGCGCTGCCTGGAACTGTGCTCGGCGCTCCCAGATTTTCTGTGGGCTTGCTCAGAAGTTGGCATTAGCAGAGAGCAGAAAGCGTGAAGGGATGTGCCATCAAGGCCAGGAAGGCTCAGAATAAAAACTGCAACCTTTGACAATGAAAAGAAAGGGGGAAAAAAGGCAGCTTTGGGAACAAAGCTTGTCTCTTCCCAGGCAGCTCCAGAGCACACAAGACAAGGACGCAGCAAGCTGTAAATAAGCCAATATTGCCCAAGGCTACCCATGATATTTCTTTTAGGAGGAGAATCAAGCACAGGACAAACTGAGAGAGCCTGGTTGCAATCTGGAGAGGCAGCTGCAGTCCTGGGACTCGAGAGCCCCAAATTCATTCAAGCAAACCCCGAGTGACAGGTCACAAATTTCACAATTTCCGCTCGAGACGAACAAACAGCACAAGATCTCTGGAAACACCGACCTGGAGCAGCAACCCCAGGGAGAACACTGACAGTGTGCTGCAGTCTCCTCATCCAGTGCCTTCCTTGGGGCTCCAAGAGAGCTGGAGAGGGACTTGGGACACAGGCATGGAGTGACAGGACAAGGGGTGGTGGCTTTGAACTAGAAAAGGGGAGATTTAGATGGGATATTGGGAAGGAATTTTTCCCTGTGAGGGTGGGGAGGCCCTGGCACAGGTTGCCCAGGGAAGCTGTGGCTTCTCCATCCCTAGAAGCATCCAAGGCGAGGTTGGACAGGGCTTGGAGCAACCTGGGCTAGTGGAAGGTGTCCCTGCCCATGGCAGGGGGTGGATCAGGATGATCTTTAAAGTCCCTTCCCACCCAGATCAGTCTGTGCTTCTATGAAAATAAATGACAAGTATTCCTGGGGTATTTAAGAATCTCACATAAACATCCACTGATCATTATGGCAATTTCCACTCCACAATTTGTCAAACACACAATTTGTGATACATCAACTGCAGCAACTCCTATGTGGCTGCACACAGGTGCTGGGCTGGCAGGGGAGCCTTTAAAAAAACAATGCCAAGGGTTGAGATTTTCAAAAGCAGCACTGGGGAAAAGGGAAAAAAAATAAAGAGAAAAGCAAACAAACAAAAAAAACCCCCTTCCCTTTAAGTTAACAGAGGAGGAGCTGTCAGAAACCCTGCACTTCCTCATGTCACCCATTTCACAGCACTGAGACAGGTACAGCCTCCCCGGGACTGACCCCCATCTCAATTACACAGGGAGAGAGCCCAGGGGACCCCCAGGACATGCACAGAGGGTTGTAGCTGCACAGCAGAGCTGAGGCTGTGCACGTTCACCACACGTGGCACAAACACAACCATCCATCCACCCATCCATCCATCCACCCAGACACACGTGGAAAAAGCAAACACAGCAGCTCAGCCTGTCCCTGTCGCTGCCTCTTCCCCTCCTGGGATGTTTCCAGCTGAGGGACACGGCGTGTGCCAGCAATTAAGAGCCCTGGGAGCAGCTCGTGCTCCGATGCCGCCCGGTTTCCATGGAGGATACACGGAGCACCCGGGAACACGTGAGCCTGGAGCAGTGCTGGGCCCCAGGGACTCACAGTAGGCACAAGGCAGGTGCTGTGGCTGTGGGTTCCAAGAACAGCAGGAGGAAGCCTGGCTCGGGGCACGTCACAGGTCTCACACCCACGTCACCACACGACTGCTTCAACAAACCACTGCCCAGCCTCGGGTGTCCTGCCCCCCCCCGGCAGGGCAGATCACACAGACCTGCTGCTCTCATGGCTTGCTCAGCCCCCTGCCAGCTCACCTTCCTCCTGCACCCTCCTGCTGAAGGGAAAGGAAGTTTTAACAATCTCCTTCCTTGCAGCCACCCCGGCACAGGCACAGGGGGTGTCCGGGTGAAAGTTGGGGCACACGCTCCATCCACGGCCAAGCAATGAGGTCATGGGGGAAAAGCTGTCCCACAGGATCCACAGTGGGGCCATCCCAGCTCCAGCAGCTATTTAGGGAGCTCTGTGGGACTATAAAGGGCACTGGGGCTCCAAGGGCTCAACCCTTCAGTGATGCTCAGGCCTGGCTATGCCGTGAGCCCCAGCAGGGACCACCCATCCATCCCAAGCCTGCACTCCCCACGGCTGGAGACTCTGCTTTTCTGTCCTACAGACCAAAACCCGCCTGTGAGTGAGACCCAAAGCAGCCCAGCAGCACCAGCCCCACGGTGGGGGAGCCCTGGGAAGGGGCCTGAGAGGAGAAGTGCTGCTCCTTCCTCCCGTGTGATCAGATCAGCCACTTCTTTGCTCTTCACAAATCCACCCCGACCTCCGGTTGTGCAAAGCTTCTGGTGCAGAATCTGCAATTCTGGCTAAAGGAAGAAAAAACAGAAGCTTTTAACCATAAACCCTTGCCACATTTCCTGTTGCACCGGGACGGGAGGAAACGAGCTGTGAACAAAACAACAGCTCTGGCACCTCTGCCTGCACCTGAGCCTGGGCAGGCACTGCAGCTTTCCTGGGTGGAAAACAGGCAAGAGCAACCCCAGCCATCCTTGGGGATCACCTCATGGCCTCACAAGAGGACACCCGTGTGCCAGCCTGCACAACCAGCACGTTCCATCGTGCCACCCTCCTGTGTGACCAGCAGGAGAGCGACGGCGAGGCTGGAGCTGCCAGGGTGATTCCACACCTGCTCCACTGAAAACCCTGATGCAGAACATGGCAGGGCTGTGGATGCCAGAGGTTAAACAGGCTGTCAGCTCGCTGGCAGTGTTTAAACTCAGCAGGTGAGGGGTTTGCCAGCCTGTGTGACACTGCCATAAAATAACTCACAGAGCTGCAGCGACACAGGCACCCACAGACTGCACAGGGCCCTGCACATGTCCTCCCCCTGCACAGAAGGTCCTTTCCATACCCTACATTATCCCTCTGTTGTAAGAAATACCAGCTGTAAGAAATGACTCGAGCCTCATCTGGCACTTGGGCTAAAGCTCAGTGGGATAAAGGCTGCCCAGCTCCTGGTGCACAAAGCCCATGGCCCGGGGCTCGGGCAGCCACTGTCCCCACGAGTTCCCCACACCAACCCCCTCTTTGCAACCCACCACTCAGCTAATGAGCCGTGAGCTTGTGACAGGCTATTATGGAAAACCCACAGGCCCTGGTGACTGTGGTGACACGCTCTCAAAAGAATTCTGAGCCAAGAGAGGCAACAACGAAGCCTCCACGACAGATATTTCCATTTATCGGTTGGAGAGGAGAAACACCCTCCCCATCCAGCCAAAGGGCATCCTCCCTACAGCCTCTCACCTGCCCAAAGTCGACCCCCAACTTAAAAACCTTTTTGAAGCAAACAAAGGCAGCAGCTCTGCATCATCTTGGGAATAACAGCTCTAGGTGGGACCCAGGAGCTTTCTGGTGCCACTTCAGCAGTGTGGGTGGATGGTGCCCTCTCCCATGGCTCCACCACAGCCCCAGCTGGCACAAAGGAGCTGTGGTTACAATTTGGATGCACAGCCCAAGAAGTGGAAGACCAGCAGTTGCTCTTTGCCATAAGCTTCACCACCAAACCAGACATGGAAAGGCACAGTAGGTAGAAAGTCTGATTGTGCCCTTCCCTGGGACACTCCTTGGAGCAAGGGCCACTTCCCTGCAGCCCCAAACCAGCCTCAGGGACACCATCCCTGCCCCCTCACTCCCAGTCAATTCTTCTCACCAGCTATTTAGTTAATGAATTTGAAGAGCAGAACAGTGGAGATGGATCTGCCCCAACATCACCACATTCTTGGCATCAACTGTCTTATCTCGAGGCAGGAGTGGCCAAGTCCTCCCTGGGGTGCTCAGACACAGCTCCATCACCATTTACATCAGCCATACTGGG